GCTCTTAATGGAGCTCGGATTTCTTATATTTGTAACAAGCTGGGCATGATTGACATCTATGCTCCATCTTGAGGGGGAGTGTTACGAAATTATAGGCTGTAAATATGTAGTATTAGCCCAATTAGAAATAACTTGATTATAGGAATTATTCTTTCTTTGATTTTCTTCCTATTTAGTATCTACAAGGCTATATGATTTTTTTCCTTTTTTGTATCTGCAAGGCTGTATGATTTTCTTCCTTTTTTATATCTGCAAGGCTGTATGATTTTCTTCCTTTTTAGTATCTACAATGTTGTATATATATGTACTGCTTTCTCAATAGAAAGACATCAATTTCTTCTAATTCTTGTTCTATCACACTGATATATTAGGGACTTGAAGAGAACAACATTCGAACATGATAAACATGTACCCAAGAAGTACCTGTGTTCCATGCAATGTATAGTGTCCAGTATTTATTTGTCAAGATGGTCATGTATCCTGGTATTTCAATCCACCTTCCATTGGTTCTATGATACCCAATGTTTTCAACCCGCCGTTGACCCGGCTGGTCGAACCGTCACCCAACCAGGATTCTGGGTCCGATTCAGTCAAGACCCGCCAGACAGTAAAAAACCACTGACTTGGTCAGGAACCGTTTGACCCGACCGGTTTGACTGTTGACCCATTCGACTCAGTGACCAGGTCACAGGTTGTACACTCAAATTGCAATATTTAATAATTTTTATAAATAAAAAAATTAAAAAAAATGTATTAAATATAAAATAATACATATAACATATTTATACATTAGTTATTGCTAAAATATATGGCACGGTCTGAACCATTCGACCCGGCCAGTTGAACCGGTGACCCGGAGGCAAAAATGGTTCGGCCTCCGGGTTGGTTTTTAAAACATTGATGATACCATTTGAAGTTATAATTACAAACTTGCAATTTAGACAACTTTGAAACATAAAAAAGCAATTATTGTTACAATGCTGGTATTTATCAATTTACAAACTCCTTGATCTTCCATGAACTTATGTTAAGCATTGTTGAGATTTCATCCAGATAGAGCATCGAGAACTGACATCCGTCAGCAGGTTGAGGCAGAGGAGAAGTTTAAGCTCATTTCCCGCTTGAAAGAGAAATTTTTACTGACAGCATAAAGATGGGACTCCCAGATGCAACTGCAAGTTTTCTCATACAAAAAGGATGTTAATTAGCTTAGCTGACCCTATGGAGGCAAACAAGCATTTCTTGTATAGGAGCTTTCTTTTCTTTTTTTTTTTTGGGTACTATGGAGAATAGAGCCAAATAAATAGATGTTAGCAATGCTGCTTCTTGAGAGGGTTTTGTGTACTGGAGTAGCTTTTGCTTGTACAACCATTATAGACTTGTAGAACCACTTTCCATCACATTACCTTGTTATGTAAAACAATAATCACCAAACAGAGGTTGGTTTCCTTTTTCAGTAGCTAATAATCATATAAGCCAATCAGTGGAGCTTAAGTAAGGTGGAAGGGATTAAAAATCTTAAAGTTATTAGGATTTCATTACTTGGAGGACGAGGAAATTGAATCTGCTTTAATACTGTCAGAGCATTTCTTCGAGCCACATCCTTGGTATTCATTCTTTTCTCTTTACCATTGATACGTTCTCCACTTTTTTCTCCGGGCAAGTATTAGGCAGAAAAAGAAAACTATTTTTAACACAATCATTGCAATCTGCTGAAATTACAATAAATTTATATTTCTTCTCCGTCCCACATGCATGATCACAAAGACCCAACAAGCCTGCTCTGACAGTAACCCTTGCTTAAGTATCTAATGCATGAAACCAAAAGAAGAAAATGAAAGAGGAAGAGCTATATATATATATACCAAGGGACTATTATTCTTAGTAATACGTTGACTCTGTTTTGAATAGGTAATCAAGGAGAGCTTCTTTGTGAAGAAGAAGCTGGAGGAATGCCAGGGAATCTGGGTGGGAATGGAAATGGAGGGAAAGGAAAACGGAAGGTCGGTGGTGGTGGTGGTGGAGTTAGAAACGGTATTGGTGGAAAACTAAACGAAGGTGGTGTTGGCTGGAATGGGTTTGGAGGCAGCAGCGAAGGTGGTGTTGGCTGCAATGGGTTTGGAGGCAGTAACGGAGGTGGCTGGAATGGGTTTGGCGGCAGCGGAAGGCCAAAGGGAGGTGACGGTGATGGAAGAAAAGGTAATGAGGGAGGGGAAAAGAAGGATATTGTCTTCTCAGATTTTAGACCTGACAGGGAATTTGTGTCCGAAAGTTTATAGGCTTTTGTCTGAGTTGGTTTTCTCATCAAAGGCGGTAAATTTGGTACCCCTGGGAGTCGTGGTAGAAAAGGAAGAGGTGACAAAATTGGCAATGGTGGAAGCTGGGGGAGATGAGGAATAGGTGACAGAGTCGGCAATGGTGGAAGCTGGGGAAGTTGGGGAAGAGGAGGTAGTTGTGGCAATGCTGGATTTTGAGTTGCGGGTGGGGAACTTGGCACTGTTGGGTCTTGAGTCACGGGTGGAAACAGCGGAAGGCTTGGAGAAGAAAGGCCAGTCTTCTTGGGACTGAATTCCTTTGAAGTTTCAAGCTTTGGTTTCTGGTTACACAAGTCTGGCTGTTTCAGGGGCTTGAAAGAGAAAAACCCAGCTGAGAAAATGTGGACTCCTTGTTTTCTTGACTTGAGATGGAGAGATGATGAAGTTGCTGTGGAGGCCACTGCACAGAACGGCTCGCTGCTGCTGATTAACTTCACCGAACACCCTTTAATGCTCTTGACGTGCTTGCTAACTGCAAATGGTAGGTGAACTTTGAATTGTCCATGTTCATCTGTCTGTACCTCCTGGTGGAAACTAGGTTCCGAGCCTCCATCTCCACATTCCACTGAAACAGAAGCACCTGAACATAACAGAGTTGAGTGAATTCTTGATCCATCAATCAAATATATAAATGACAGAAAAGGTTTCAAACGTCAATTTTACGAGAAATGAACCTGATATGAAGTGGCTGGTCCTTGAGAAATCTTGCTGAAAACATGTGTCACAGTAAACAGTGCCCACAACAACTGCAGATGGAAGCTTCTTCTCATGTTTAGCCTCTGAAAGATTATTGAAGAGTAAACCGAAACTAAATATAAGCAGCCAAAACATTCTGGTACTGCCCATTCTCTGGAGCTCTCTGACTCTGAATGAAATGGACACTTGATGGGTGTGCTTTAAATAAACAGAGCTATGAGCTTTCTTGTATAATTTATTCGGCCTTTATTGCAAATACTCCTTTTGGCATGAAGCTTCCTCCATGGGAATTGGGTAGAGAGGTTAAATGCTTTCCATCTTTTCTTGCATTCAAGATCAGGAGACTCCAAGCTTCTTTATATCGTTCATGCAAAAACCAGTCAACCGTAAACTATAACCAATGAATATGTGGTGTAAATCCTTCTGCACTAAACACCCAAAAAGGAAGACGAAATAGTTGAAAAGAGGCTCCTGAGCTCCTCTCCTGCAGGGTCATGTACTCTTATTTGTTCCTTTCTATATCTTGGTGTCGAAAGGCCAATAAGGACAGTAGGGGTCTCCGTCTGATACGCTGCATGAATGCAACGTGCAGTGTCACAAATTTGACACCCATTTGCAGACAAATATGAAGAAGGCCGAGTCTCTTTACACTTAGGACACACGAGCATCTTGGTGAGAATGTATGTACACTGCTACTCGTGATTCAATCCAAACCCGACCCACGATGTTTCGGGTTCGACCAACTTGGATCAAATGGAATGATCAATGTAGATCATTGAATAAGAATCTGTCATGGGAGAATATGGGTCCACAAGTGGGTTGGGCATTGGTTTCCATTTGGTGAGAAGAAATGTGAACGATACTATTTTTCATTAGATTCCCTAAGCAGCATGTGATGGGTAGGAATTAAATCTGTTATTTAATGTGAGAAGGTATGGGTAAGCCCATAATAAGTATTTGATTTAATTATTCAGGGAACCGGTTCACGGGTGCTACAGAGACAGGTTCCAAGATCTTCACGAGAGAAACCAGTGGAAGTATTTGATGAAAAAGGCTCTTCCTTTGTCAACATCTGCTTGTGGATTGTGAGTTTATCTTTCTCTGCTGTATGTGTATGGTATTTCTTGCTAATGGAAGCCGTTCCATTGGACATTAGTGTAATCACTGTGGACCATTCAATAATTAACGGATGATCGTGCTCCATATATATCTCAGTCCTTCATGGAATTCTTATCTCATGTCGTATGTCAAAACTTCTTGAAGAAGAACTTAAAGATTAAGTTCATTCCTCGGTACATTTTCGACCTTTCACTTGGAACAATTTCCGTGGTTGATTTGCATATGAAAATTGGTTTTCACTGCTAGAGTGTGGGTTAAAGTCAAAAATCAAAATACCCACTAAAATCCCATTATTTATATGTTTGGTTTCGTGGGAGTTTCTTGAGAGGCATTTTTTTGGATGAACATTTATCTGAAAAATACTATTTTAAATGTTTTTTTGCCTTTTTTTTATATGGTTTGATGTTTTATGGGCATTTCAACACCCCATAAAATTGTTTTCTACCTCAGATAAAGTATGCCACATCAGCATTTTATTTCAAGAAATGCCCAGTCATTGGGAGAAACATGAATTTGGTATTTCCCCAAATGCCCCATGCACATAAATCAAAGCATTTCAGTTTTTTAGTGTTTATTTGATAAACGGTGAAACCAAACATTGGTTTAATATGCAATAAATACTAATGCTTATGTGGCGCTGATGTGTTGGCATTTTTTCAATAACGCCCACGAAACCAAACATATACTATATCGGTTTTAGAACAGACTAAAAGGTTTTGAGGAATTGGAGAGAGGTTTTACTGGCTTATCTTTCCCATTTGCATTTTACTTCTTTATCCTTTTTAGGTAGATAAGATAAATCAATATTTGCTTCTCTGGATGCATTTTTTTCAGATCTCTAACCCAAAAGGAATCTCCAAATTTCAGGATTTTAGCCAAGTCTTAATTCCCTGACCACAAGAGCCATTAACCATTTCGCTGTCTCCTCACATCCCATGTCAATGCAAAGCCTGAGTAAGTTGTAATCGAATTCTAATGATCACATTTCTCTCAGCAATTCCAGAGAATTTATTGAATAATATGAGCTTATGGAATATCCCTACTTGGCCATTTGATAACAGTTGAATTGGCTTATTTCTTATTGGTTCGTCTTTTTGTTTGAAGAAGTAATGGAGTGCGACAGGATTCCCTACACGCAAAAACTCTGCACAGACACTCTACAAGTATGAGAATACAACTGCACATTGGAAACATCTCCTCATGAATTTAACATATATGTAAGTTCCCAATGCTTTTGCTTGCAGAAGATCTAGGCTTCAATCAAATAGGTTGCAAGTTCCTTAAGAGCCTGAATTCCCCCTTCCCCAAGAGATGTTCTCAAGTGTGACTGGGTTCCCCATGCTTATAGAGTGTGTGCAGAGCTTTTGCTTGGAGGGAATCCTGTCACATTCCTTAATTGTTGAATGGCATGTCCAAGTGACTACTTTGCCCCCAGATGTTTCACTAAAAAGAACTATTTTATGCAGTAAAAGCCTTTCAAAAAGCAAAAAACCACTAAAAGACAGATCGATAAACAAATCAATTCGGTCATTTCTACTTGTTATCAAACGTCTCTGGTTCTAGAACACAATGACACCCAAGAGGGAATGTTTCAACTTTCGAAAGCATCTCTGACAAACCTATTAAAGAATAAAATCCTATTCACAGATCTCACCTAACAGCTTAAGCTTTTAGGTTGAACAGTTCCTTGAGATGGTATTATAGTTTATTTGACCAAGTTGTCTGATGCTTGATCTTCATTATCAGCCCAATTAGCTTTCGTGTGGGGGTGTGTTAGAGCATAAAATCTTATTCAGTACCTCAGCTACAGCTTTTAGGTTGAGCGGTTCCTTGAGATTTTTTTTTTTTTTTTTGTAAAAGAAAGCATCATTAACCAGAACAAAGAAACTGGTGAACAGGAAATACCTATACACCAGAGGCTGTCGGTGTGGTGGACTAGTAGGTTTCTAATTCCAACCGGGCCGGGCCTGTCAAGAGAGAATCCTCTATTCGCCCAATAACATTTTTCCAACTCCGACAAAATTGATTCTTCTAGTGGTCAAGAACTGAACGGTAATATCAATAATTAATAAATTAGAAATTAATTAATTAAAAAGATAAAAGACGAAATGTTCTCTTTTTGTGTTTCATCATACCATCTCCATTGATAATGGAGGACTTGGGGCTTTGATCCTCTCAATCTTTAGATAAGTATAAAAGATTCAGAAGCATGGTTAGAAAATGGGATTATCTTATATTGATTCTTCTATGCTTCCCAATGCTCTTAAGAGGTTGGTGTTCATGAAAGGATGGGAGGGGAACATAAAAGTATTTAATGGTAGGTGATAAGGTGATGGCTTCATTTTGGACTTCAGGTCTATTTGTTCTTGCTGATTAAAGAATATATTCTGCCGAAGCTATCAAAACGGTTAGTGCAATCAGACTAGTTATCTTATCCTCCTATATTTGTTCAGTTGTTCTTGCAAAACCTGGTGTATAGTTTCTGAACCTTCACGACGGGCCAATGCTTCAGCTTATAACTCTACTTGAAATGCCACAAGAGAAAAACGACCAAACCTATGTAGGGGATTATTTGTTCGAATGGCTGGATAAAGAAGGTATAGTAAGAGATTTGCATAATGACGATGATGATAATAAAGGCATTCGAGCCATAATCTCACTATGAAATCACTATCAGGATGCCCTTGTGTGATGCCGAATTCAAAGTCCACATTCTTATGTCATCTTATATTGCATCAGCATCATCATTCAAAAAATAAAAATGTTCTGGATAACAGTGTGCATTGAGCATTCAAGCAATGAAGTGGATAACAGTGTGCATTGATCATTGAGCCATTGAGTCCCTGGTTCATTTTCTGTAATTTTTCAAAAGCCGGTGACTTGTACTCGAGCAGTCGCATGCTGAGACAAGCTAGCTTCCAATTGCTAAGATAATAAATGGGCTATGCACTACAAAAATCTTGTTTTCTTTTCTCATAAAATGCTCCCCAATAGCAGGGCCATGTAAAAATTGTTTTACACTGTCTCCAGCTCATCTGGTTGAATTACAAAAATTTTGGTTCCAAATACATTCTAAATTCTAATCCAAAAGAGCAGATAAATTATTACAAAATTTGATATTGAATAAATTATCCTAGAACCCCCCGAGAGGGCCCTATAAACCAAGAAAGAATTCCCCCATACCCCTAGATCTAGTGATTCATGATTTCTGATGTATGAGATTTTTTTGCCTTTCCAAACAAAACATAAAAAGAAAAGCTTCTATGAAGGGAAAACTTTTGATTTTGACTCTACAAGAATGACCATTTCTTGAGAAGCCCAAGATATCTACTATTGCATCAAATTGACCAAGAAACAAAACTACCACATTCTCAACTTATGAAGCAATCTTGGAGAAATGGGTGTGTATGGTTTACATACCGTTCCCATAGAGGCTTGTACCTGCTGATACCCAACTTCAGCCATGGCTTCATATTCCCATTAAAGTGAATGACGGCTGCACTCTCAATCAGACGGTTGTCAATGTTCAAGGCATACCCCAACCCTAGTACATGCCATCTCCTATCAAGCGGCTCTGTCAATCCATAAAATGCCAAAAGGCCAGGAGGAAGAGTTCCCATCTTCCAGAGTGACCGATCAGAATTTTGTTCCTGCCAGTAGTGATACCTTGCAGTCACATTTGTCTTCTTCCATGCAATCAGATCAAAAACATTCATTCCAAATGCCCATCCACAGGCCTGTGGATCAAACTTTGAGCTGATGACTGGATTGGAGAAGTTGAGATATTTGTAATAGCGATGGAATGTCTCAAGGCAAGTCTCTATGGCTCCATTCACATTTCCGTGCAAATCCAGTGAAAATAGAGGGGTCAGATCCTTCTGTACAACAACATCATCATCCAAAAATACCACCTTCTCCAGTAAGGGATATATTTCTGGAATGTAAAACCTTAGGTGGTTAAGCAAAGATAGATATTTTGGATTCCGAAATTTTGCTTCACCTTCTTGAAATCCCCCAAAGTAGTAAGTTTGTGTTTCTGCATCAAGAAGCTGTTTCATAACAGGAGAATAGGTGACATTCAACCATGAGAACTCTTCAATGTTCTCAACTTCTATGGTGGACCCTTTGAAGTCATTACTGAGAAACCATACTTGCATTGCCCCATAGCTGATCGCATTTGTGACAATGTGAAAGACGAGCTGCTTTGGATGGTCAGCATTGGAGACGGTTGAGTTAACGACTACTGAGGTTGCTAGCACATTATCTGAAAATATGCAAAAATGGTAGAGATTATTATCCACAAGGCGGGGGGAGTTATTATTCTCATTGGCAAGCTCCCGAATGGTTGAACTTCTAAGCCAATCAATCGTTAGCTTGATATTCAGGCAGTGGAGGTTCTTGGGTAGAGACTCTGCAGCCAACTGCCCAAAAACTGCACTCTGTACAGTAGCTGCATTTGCACGCTCCTCAAGAGCTTGCACGTGGGACTTCATTGTCATTATTGTAGTGGCAATATCATAATGAGCATCTTGTGCCTTGTAGATCAGTGCTGTCAGGCTTTCAATTATTTGTTGTGCTTCATCCAATATGCTAGGTTCTCCTTCCATGGCAGTTTTTGAAAGCAAAAGTTGGCAACTCCTTATTTTTGAGCTCAGCTCCCAAGCAAGCTGAAGGTTATTGTGCTCTTTTGCAATTATTACATAAGCCTTGGCAAGTGTCATCTGATCACTTAACTGCCTGGCAAATGATGTCACACTTGATAGTTCTTCTGTAAAATTTAAACCCTCACTTGAAACAAGTTTAGCCTTTGTATTCTCCTGGGAGAGGAAATGTCAATTCCAAGTAATTAGAATACCACATAAATAAGCAACTAAGTCAATTCATAATTCAACTACAGTATTCTGCAATAGCAGTCATTTATTCATGAAGGAAATACAGAAGTTTCGTAAGACATAATAGATGAGAGCCTTTTTTCTTGAAGAAGGTAAAGTATTGTATTCATTTAAATTGTATCACTACAAGTGTAAACATGTACTGAGTCACTAAAGAAAACACGAGATCTTTTTGGCCTGAACGCTTTCTCAAGAAAACAACATTTCAGAATTAGGATATGCATGGTGTATGTCTCCTAACTTCTCCTGTATTGATAGCGAAGAAAGAAATGCCTTCATCACTCTTCTAATCAGTTCATCAACTGAGCAGCTCCTGCCTTCAAAAAGCTAAGATCTCTCCTTCCAAATGCACCAAGATGGGAGCCTTTTCTTCCTTTTCAGTAAAGAGAAGATGAAAGTTGTCACAATGACATCTCAACTTTTTTTTTTGTCTACAATTTCTTGCCAGCAAAATATCAGTTTGTCACCTTACTAGTTGTAACGATTTTCTTTTTCTTCTAATATTTAAAAGTGTTTGATCACCTTGATTTTGGTGCTTTTTGAAAGATGATTTGATACCAACCCAACAAACCCAAGATCATACAATTAGTATGTAATTGGAGAGTGCTATATCTGCAAAACAGATGGCATGCAAGCTTGTGATGGAAAGAAACCACTCATTCTGGGTATTTGATTTTATATTTGTATTCAAAGTTGCCATCCAAAGAATTAAAGCAGTATGGGAAAAATGGAGCGGTGCATCTGGACTTCTATGTGATAGGCGAATACCACTTAGATTAAAAGGAAAATTCTATAAAACAATTGTAAGTCAAGCCAGCTATGCTGAATGAAGCTTAGTGTTGGGCAGTCAAGAAACAAAACATGTCCAGAAAATGAATGTGACAGAAATGCAAATGCTAAGATGGATGAGTGGAAAAACTAGAAAGGATAGGATTAGGAATGAAGTTATCCGTAGGAACCTAGGAGTAGCTCCAATAGGTGATAGAACGAGAGAGAGAGAGAGTAGACTAAGATGGTTTGGGCACATGCAAAGAAGACCACCAACTGCACCAGTTAGAAGAAGTGATTTGTTACACACTGAAGGCGCTAGAAGAGCTGGGGTAGACCAAAAAGGACATGGGTAGAAGTAGTAAGAAATGATTTAAGAACTAATAATTTAACAATGGATATGGCTTTAAATAGAACGGATTGGCGAAACAGGATACATGTTGCCAACCCCATATAGTTGGGATAAGGCATATTTAAGTATATGACCTCTTGCTAGCTTCTCCTTCATTTGGTCCTCTATCCTTGAGGAACTTAGTGGCTTCAAATTTTTTTAATTTCTCCAATGTGCATCCCCTCATGTACATTTTGTCTTTCTTATTATTATGTTAATACAGCTATCTTTTTTTATCAAAAAAAAGCTTCAATGGTCGGCAGAGAATTATTTATATTCATAATTCTTACTCTTTGTACCTCCTTGCATAACAGCCATGACCTCCGCTCTTAAAGAATCTCCTACTAGGTGCTGAAAATAGTGCCACTATAATCCTTCTCTTATCCCTAAAAATGCTTCCAATCCCTGAATGTCCTGGATTTCTCCTACATATTTTAAAAGTGTTAATACCATAAAATATAGTCTACAAGTGGTATTGCATCCAATACCAGAATGCTAGGCATGAAAAGGCAGCCAATTATCACGCTAGTCTTTTGAATTGTTACCATTTGATTCAGCATCAATTGGGTATGGGGCCATTCTTTCATATTTTCTAGTCTCTTGGAATCCAGAGACTTCTAGAGATGGCAATGCCTTGAGGGATCAGTATGGGGGCATTCTTTCATATTTTCTAGTCCTACCTTTCAAGGAAATTTCATTCATGATGGCATTTTGGAATTTCTGTAGGGCCTAAAGCAGATGTGTATAACAGTTTTGCACATGTGTAGGTGAACAGAAGTTCTCAAGTAGTTATCAGTTGAACCAGGAGAAATGAAGGACCATGAATAGCAGGATGCCGCATCACCTTATCAGAAAAGCTAAAGCTTCAGAATCTAGCATGAACATCTTATTCAGACGGATCCAAAGATAAATAAATTCTTCAGCAGAAAACTTACCTAGGAAGAGGAGGGAAGATCTGAGCTTTACTGGGCCAGGAAAAAAGTTTTTCATTTCCAATAAAAAAGAAAGTTTTGCTTCAGCATTAAAAGTCTGAGAGGATGATATGAGTTGTTTAGTAGGTATTCTGCTGGGCCTCCATCCTTAAGGACATTTCAAGTATGAGATTCTACAATTTTGTCTTAAGATGGGATTTCTTCTTTGTAAGACCATCTTGATTATAACTTCTTTGTGCATTCTTAGACAACATTATCTTTATTTATTTAACAAAGAGGGTAAGATTTACCAGTGATCTCAAAAATGACATATTTATCTGCAAAAATGCTAGTCTCCTTATCTCCTGCATAACCCAACAAAGCACAGATGGATTTACAATCTCCACAAGACCATGCCTCTTCTCCTAAAATGACCATGATAGAACCAGTAAGAAAAAGAAATGCTCCATGATTTTGTCAGTCAAGTTCATGGTAAGCTAGATTTTTCATACTGGACACCAAATCTAGATTCCCTTTCTTTTATCAATAGAGGAAATATCAGACCAAGAATGCACCTCCCAATCTTAACAGTATATGCTTGTCTTCTATAGAAGGAACTACCCCACCTTCTAATTGAGCCAAAGGCCAATTAAGTTATCTACATTTCAAAGACTGAGCCACCTCCTAGACTTTAGCACCAGATGGTCTGGGTTGCTACCATTTCAAAGAAATCTCATGCCAGGGCTTCTTGCTAACTAGACATCTGATGAATGCCCAGAATGTTCACCTTAAGCATATCAACCAAACCATATGGCAACACAAAATTTCACTCTATCTCCTTGCCACATATAGGTTGCAAAATTCAATTCAACAAAGCCTTTAAAGATATAGCATGTGAAAACCTTTAAATACATTCATTATTCCACCCCACTTACCCCCATTACAGTCTCTATACACTAATTTTGTGTTTTATTTACCCCCCCCCCCCCCCCACTATTAGATGAATGGACAATGACCCAGTTGATTGCACTGTTTTACAATCAGAGACAATTCTCACTGTCTCAATTCCTAACAAAATTATAATTCTCAAGCAAGATTTAGGGTATTCTATCTTCAGTTTATTCCAAAGCATCCAAGAGATGTATTCGTAGAATCAAGTTTCTTGTTTTTTTTTTTCTTTTTTGATAGATAACAGAGTATGAATTACCAGTCAAAAAAATAGTATGAATTGTATTGATTTTCTTACCGTTATGAATTGTATTGATTGTATTAATGTTCAAAAAGGTGTACATGAGAGGATATGTACATGGTTCACAAGAAAAGAAAGCCCTGCCTAAAAACTTACAAAGACCTTTCACTATAAATTCATAAGAAATGTACATTAGTTACACCATTTAAATGCAAAGAACTTCATGGCTGCAAAAGCATCAGAATAGTTAATCCAAGTGCACCCAGTAATCGTTAGACATATTTCCAATATAGCAAATACTTTTTTTGACTGATTTGCCCATATAATAAATATCAATAGAACAGATTGACGCCCCCAATAACCACAACCAAACTGGACACAATCTGCCCAGAATAGCTAGCTAGAGATAAGGAAGTTGGATCACAAAACCACACCTTAAGGATATATAGTGCTGATAAAACATTTCCTCTGTTTTAGTAGCAAGTGAGACTGATCTAACTTGTACAAGGGAGTGAATTGCCAACCCAAGACAATAACAACTTGGAAAAAGATTAAAAACTTTCAACAAGCATATAGGATTAAATCACCAACCATTTCTATATTACAAATATGATTTTATGGATTATAGACCCAATGAAAAAAGGAACTAGCATCTAAGTTACAGATCACAGAAGAGGCAACTTAAAAAACGAACTTCTACGCAGATCAGTTAAAAATCATATTTCCCAGATATTACAGCTCATGGGTCCCAAATTAAAAATACTCATACAAAAGATCATTTTAGAAGGTTCCTACTCCCGAAACATAAAGCATCCAATCAAAATAACAAGGATGAAACCAGAAATAATGAATTGAATAAAGAAAACTTATGGGACGCCCAACAACGGATGGTTTTGGCCGGAAAAATACTATTTTCTTTGTCAAACAAAGAAAAAATAATTTTGCAACTTTGTTATACCACCATCAAAATAAGGAGATACAGCACTGAAATTTGCAATCGGAAATTCTCTAAACTCACCTCTACCGGCTGTTCAACCCGGTAGTCATGATGATGATGAACAACAAACAGCACCAGAGCTGCAACTAAGAACAAACCAAGAAGCCCCCAGATCCAACTAGAAAACCTCCTTCGGACTGGGCGCCGGTAGTCGGTCGCCCTTCGCCGCATCTTGTAAAGATATATTCCACGATTCACAATCAAATCCAGAATTCAGAACAACCCATCTCTCAGATTGGATAGAGAAATCACCCAAATGGGTCTTGTCGCCATCTAAACTTCTTTCGAATTATTGCGCGCTTCTCTTCTGAAGCCTAGCCGCGCTGTCCCCAGTCCTCACACCATCCTTATAACCTTATAAGAAGAAAGACTGAAGCAAAGACGGCAATATCTCGTTTTTATCTATATTTTAGACGATTCGAAAATCTGCATCTCTGTAGAACAAGAGCAGGGAGAGTATTACAGCTTTGAGTGGGAGGAGCTCTTCATATGACGTATTATTTTTGCTTTGCTAAACATATTAAAATAACAGGCTTGGAATTGGAGAAAACATTGGGGGCTGTATTTGTAATTACGACTCAAAGAAAAGAATGAAATTACAAAGGAGAGGAATCGGGGCCGGCACATGAAATCATGTGACAACGCTCACTGGTCTCCCTCTCTAGTCCTTCTGAGTTTTGACAACCGATTTTGCTCATATAGATTTGAGTTCAGTCAAAAGGAAAAAGTGAAGGGTCTCATCAATCTTCACCATTTGGGCTTCTATGATTCCTATCTTCCTCATCAAAAGAGAATGATTTGGTTTAGATTTGGGAGTTATTTATTTCCTTGCTAAGAACTCAGGTAGATATCATAAGTGGATTAGAAAGTGTTTAGTTTTAGGGTAAAATATAAAAACCTTCCGAGTTTTTTTGACAATCTTATAAACCTTCCCTATGTTTTGATTTTAACAGAATCCTCCCTTATAGTTTTGAAAAAAGCTATAAATACCTCCCTTTCATTAAAGTTCCATTAAATTAAAAGAAGAATTTATTAAAATACCCTTAAATACTATCAAGTATCATCCTCCTCTTTATGAGATGTATACTTCTACATCTTCAACAAGAACAGAGCAAACTTCTCTTTGAAACAAAAACATCTCAACAAATTCACTAGCAACATTCTTGTAGGTTTCAGCAAGATTTCAACAGGCAGTTGATAATCTTAATTTAGATTTCATGTTTGATTTCTCTAGTTTGTTAAGATTTTTGCTCTTGGGGATCAATCTGTGTGGAAGGCAATGTCTTTGACTTTGTTCATGATAAATTTAATAAAACAATCCAGGTAAGGTTGAGAGAAATAGGTTGGCGCTTAATACTTAATAGAACTTTGAATTTTTTTTTCTGTTTTATGATTTGAGATCGTGTTAGGAATTTCTTCAAACACTTGGAGTACTATCACGCACATCATATGAATGCATTATAAAGATGAGTTCAGTACGGTTGAAGCCTTTTGGGTAGATTAAATAGTTCTGAAAAATAACTGTTAAATTACTTAAATAGTAAAAGGAGTCACTTAGAATCATTTAATAGGCATCTCCACGAAGCCTCTAGACTGTGGTTCCTATTTGCCTATCACCTGAAAAAAAAAAAAAAAAACTAGAAAATGAAAAGAAAAAAATAGGAAAGAAATAGAATGAAGAAGAAAGAGAGAGAAGAAGAATAAAAGAGACGGAAAATTAAGAAAATGTGAAAAATAAATAAAATAGAGCAAAAGGATAAAAAAATGAGTGATGATTGGTTAGCTCAATTGAGACAGAGAACTAGAAAAAACAAGGGTAGGAGATTGGTTTGCTTCAGTTACCACTTTAAGGGTAAATGTGGTATTTTAAGAAAATTAATGTATTACGTTAAGGTTTTCAGCCAGAAAAACTAATAAGAGGGAGGTATATGCACCATTTATTAAAACTATAAGGGAGGATTCTGTTCATATCAAAACACAGGGGAGACTTATAAGATTGTCAGAAAACTTAGGGGAGGTTTTTGTATTTTACCCTTAGTTTTAAGATGAATTCATATCTGTCCTTCTGACAAGTTTCAATGCTAGACCCCGTATCCCTCTGCAGATATTGGCAAATCCTAGCTGAATTGGACCCTTCTATTTCCATGCTTATCACCCATTGCCATTGGCTCCAAAAGTCATACAATAGAAAGAAGAGTAAAATACAAAAACCTCTCCTGACGTTTCTGACAGTCATAAAAACTTCTCCTTTAGTTTCATTTTAATAAAAACCTTCCTAAAACTTTTAAAAAATTCAACAAAAAAACTCCCTTATATCATTCATTAGACGGAAAACGTATAAAATTATAAAACTATCCCTAATTAATCGTCAGGGCATCTTACGTACGAAAAGAATTCAAGAAAAGGGGATGGCGTTCTTTTGTTGATGATACACTTCCAAACCCAGAAAGAAGAAAGAAGAACAATAGCCAATAAATATCAACAACCATAGACCATTAAACAAGGAAAAAAGTAGCAAATTAAAGAGAACTGATGTCATATATGCCAGTACTAAACTGATGGAATCGAACCTCATCCAATCTTTGTCTTCAAAAGAGAAATTGTTATCAGTAAGGCAAAGCTTGAAGTAATAGTGATCCCCAGAAATAGAAGCAACACCAAGCCAATAAAGATTGGGCCTTTCACATACACAGCCATTGGTTCTTTGTCTACTAGTCTATCTGTTGTCTCTCGTTTGCTCATTCGCTCGTAAACTCAGAAAGAATCGCATGGGAGTCCATCTTAAGCTTCAGTCGGCCCCAAGTGAATGGAAAACTACAGATTACAGACTAGTGGTGCAATTAAAGAGACAAAGAGAGAGAGGAGAAGGAGCTTCTATTGAGGAAGTGAATTTAAAAATGGCATGTATACTGTAATGGACAAGCCCTGAATTGAGAAAGAATTTTGGCCCAGTCGATACTCAATACGTGTGTTTAAAAGAGCACTTTCGTTACTTTCAGGAAGACTGACAAATGGTAAGGGGCATTTTTTCAATTTATCATCCAAAATGCAGCGTTGGTCGGACTCTTCCTCTTTGGCTTTTCAAAACCTCCCAACGTAAAGTTTATGAGAATAGAGAACAAATGAAAGAGCTTCAAAGACACTGACTGCTTCCATTTAACAGAACAAAATTCTACCAGTGGCCGACCGATGGAGGGAGATAAAGAGAGCGGGGGAGAGAGAAAGAGATGATCGAACCCATTCACATTTGCCATAACCATAGTCGCAGCTATTCATTGACACGATCCTGTTTGCTTTATATTGAAACACCTACCTAGCAATCTGTTTTATCTTAATCATTTGCGTGTCTGTTTTAAATTTTAGCAATTCTTGGTATTCCCAGCAATGGCGCCGCTGCAAATGTTTAGTGGTGTTAATTTTCTTTTGCTCTGAAAAAGAATGGTAACCAATTGTGCAAGTGTTGTCGCTCAAATGAGGGCAATTTGGGATTTTAAAAAACTTTAAATGACGCCGAGCAGATTAGTCAAGGGTAATTTCATAAGTTTATACGTTTCTGGTCTGGGTCAACGAGAGAAAGAAAGTTTTTGTTGAGCTTTTTAAAAATTTAGAGGAGGTTTTTATTAAAATGAAACTAAAAGGGATGTTTCTATGATAATCAGAAAATTCAGGGGAGGTTTTTGTATTTTACCATAGAAAGAAAAACATTGTGGGTTTTTTTAATGTTATCACCTTACGATTATGACTCTGTTATTTATAGCCAAATTGAAGGTGCAACATCAGGGGTGGACTTTGTGGTTGACATGGACAGGGTACATGTGGGTAATTAATCAACTTGGGTCTTCTATCAAACCCACCTGGGATTTACCAAAGCAGCCCTACAGAAAGGCAGAAATTCCTTCTCTGCAGGTTTCAATTTGTTGGAGAACCTGAACCAGAAGACCCTCTGCAATAGTCTCCAAATCCCAGTATCTCAAGAAGTGGAGAAAGAACAAGGAAAAGTGGGAACGGTTCATTTCTACTATGACTCATGAAGAAGCTATATTCCATGCTTTGATTTTTTTTTTTTTTTGTTGGCATTTCATTCTAGTCACTGGTTACAATACATCGTTGGGCTTTTTCCTCTTTATTATTGAACAATGACCAGAAAAAGACACAATTAAATAAGATGATGCCATTAGATTCTTCCTACTCTGAAAACCATTGAAGGAAGATGGATGGGCCTTTTCTTTAATTTGTCTACGGGAGAATGTCATTTTCATGAATGAGGATGAAATTCTTTTTTGGATTTAATAACTAGTAGGGGTGAACTGATATCATATCTAACAGACATTAAATTTCATTCCAATAAATTACGTGTTGTGGGGATTCTACTCGGGTCTCACTCTGCAGGACTAAACTACCTTCTTGGAGGCTTTGTCCATGGAGCTTTATACTTTGACAGGACAAGAAACTAGAACATGCAATTAAAACAGGATGCTGCATAGTGCATACTTCTACTTCTTCATTATTATTTATGTGACAGAAATCAATAACCATGTTCCTTTTTACTAAAGGGAGGGAGAGAGAAAGAGAGAAGAAGAAAAAGAAAAAGAAGGAGGAAATGTTCTACTTTGAAGTTGGGAAAAAGTACTAATATCAGAATAACTTAAAGCTCTTTCTTGAGTTCAGCCACCACCACCACCAGTGTTCAATCCTTTATTCACTTGTACCTGATTTTTATCCAAGTGTAATGTACTTGCTTATCCAAGACAAGTCCCCTACTTGATTTGGCCTCATTCACCTCAAGTCCTCAACGGCAGTCCATTTACTTAATAAGTGGGCCCGCTGATAAATTGGTGTCGGCTAGCCCATTGGGCTGGGTAAAAATAAAGGGTATCCGTGCCCTGCCGATGGGGCCTAAGTTTAGGATGGCAAATGAATTGGTTGGCCCATTCCTGGACTGAGCTGGATTTTTTTTCTACTTCATCTTCTTTTGTTAATTTTATTGCTCTTATTCCTTGTTTCAGTTACTTCTGGGTTCGGATTGGCCCAGTAAATCAGCCAGTTTCATGGCCAACTATGGCCAAATAAAAGTTAGGTGCTGGACCTGGGCCACCCGATTCATGAATTGAAGCAGCATTTTATGGGTTTTTAGTGGATTCAGCTATCCAAAAAAGAGCATTCATCTGAGAATGTTTTGATTTCAGACTCGTACTCCAAGTCAGAGCTTGGATCTGTTGGATCTCACTGGTAGTAGTTTGGTGTACAAGCTTCAACATGTACAAGAAGAAAAAGGGGTCTAACTTAAGCCTGACGGAGAACTTTAACATCTACTGGGCCACTATGAGCATTTCCCAACTAATAGAGCCCATAATACAATGGATCTCAATACCTGACATGCAAGAGCTTGGAATATTTAATTTGATGGCTGGGCTTCAATCGAGTATAGAGGAATCATAGGATTCATCGCTATACGGCTCATCTTATTAGTAGGGAACCTGAATTTGACAAAGCTAATAGGATATTGAACTACATGCATCAGGCATGATCGTAATTGGGTCCATTTTGGATCCACAAAATTAAAGCCCATTATCAATCGTGAATATTTGAAATTCAGATTTTAGTGGCTTGTAAGAAAATTTGTTATAGCCAAACAGTCTCTAGAGTACCACTGGATGGCCATGAACCGAGGTTTTCACGAGTTATTTGAGTTCGATACGTGAAAAGTTTGATTTGGCTTGATATAAACTAATCTTTGAGCCGAGCTTGAACCTGATATATAGGCTCGTTTGTTAATCAAGCCGAGCTCGGCTCAAGAGGCTCATGAGCCTAATCAAGCTATTACATGCATACATATATACATACACATATATATAATAGTATTTTTAGTTTTTATATAATAATAACTATTTTTTATATGTATTTTTTTATTTTTATAAAATATTTGACTAACAATCGAGCTTGAACCGAGCCGAACTCGAACTTACGAGCTTTTGCTCAAGCTGAATTCGAGCTCAAGTCTCTAGTACAAATTGAACTCGAGAACTTTATGGTTTATTGGCGAGCCGAGATTTAATAACTATATATTTGGCCCATCTCAGCTTGAATCCACCCCTAAGCACCATATATATGTAGTAAGACGGTCCACATCAGCATTGCCTCTCTTTGCTCTATTACACCCACCCTACATTCTCCTTGACTCTCACTCATCTCCCCTTCCCACCACTCCCATTAAGTCATGTCACTATTCTCAATCCATCTACCTAAAAATATTATGTTACCCCATTCCCCAATCAATTCTTAAAATCTCTCCCCCAATCTATACTCTCTCATTTAAAATATTCATATTAATTAAAAAATAGTTAAATACGGTTAATATTTAATCCAACATGTATTCAATGAGTATTAAATAGTATTATTACCAAACTGATGAAGGAAGATTTGGCCCGACCTCGCAAATCACGGCACGTGGAAAAAAAAAGGCAAGCAGCTCGGAACTCAAGACCGTACCGAGGGTACAAACGCCAAAGGGAAGGGACCAGCAGGCCCGAGCTCCCTACTTAGAGCTCGAACTCCCTAGCAAGAGGCCCGAGGCCCGAGCTCCCTACTTAGAGCTCGGACTCCCTAGCAAGAGGTCCGAGCTCCCTACTTAGGGCTCGAACTCCCTAACAAGAGGCCCGAGCACCCTACCTAGAGTTCGAACTCCCTAGCAAGAGGCCCGAACTCCCTACTTAGTGATCGGACTCCCTGCGAGGAGCCCGAACTCTCCCCTTTTGATCCCGTCATACAAAGCAGAGACCCGAACGGGCCCATCTTATGACAATTCGGGGCCTCCCCTTCTCCAAACTCGAGAGTTCGCCTTACGCATCACTCTAGGCACGTCACTTCCGGAGCATTGAACTGGACGAACCACGCCGTACCTGACACCGAGGGAGTCCGTATCCAGGGGCGGCGCACTGACTGACTTGGGATCTGACGCTTGACAGCCGCATT